GAGTGAACCAACAGAAGGAAGACCTTTTTCTCTGTCTCTGTCTCTCTCTCTCACTGTCTGTAACTCTACCTGTCAAATAAATAAATTTAAAAAAAATTTTAAAAAAGTATATACTAAGTTGATCTTCTGTATATAAAGATAATTAAAAATGAATCTTAATGATGAATGGGATGGCAGAGGGAATAGGAGACGGGATGGTTTGTGGGTGGGAGGGAGGTTATGGGGGGAAACTACTATAATCTGAAAGTTGTACTTTCAAAATTTATATTTATTAAGTAAAAGTTTAAAAAAAAGAAAGGAAACTGAAAATATACTTTCATAAAAATTAAATGTTGGAATAGGAGAGAGAGGAGAAAGAAAAGTGGGAGTGTGGATGGGAAGAAGGGTAGGGTGGGAAGAATCACTATGTTCCTAAATTTGCATATATGAAATGCATGAAGTGTGTATATCTTAAATAAAATTAAAATTAAAAAAAAGGAAGGCAGACTCGAACCAGCGCCCATATGGGATGCCGGCACTGCAGGTGGCATCACATCTTTACCTTCTATGCCACAGTTCTTGCCCCCCAAAAAGGGTATTTTCCTACATCATTTTTCATACTTAAAGAAATTAATAATTCCCTAATATTATCCAATATCCAGTCCATATGAAAATTATTCTAATTCTCATAACTTTGAGAAATAACTATACAATAGTTCTTCACATTATAACTCTCTGACTCCCAGCAGAAAAGCAAGGCCATTTGAAAGACATTCAACAACTGGAGGACAAGCTCTCATCTGTCCTTGCAAATAAACACTACGGCTAACTCTGAAAACAGGTGATGGAAGAAATGTGAAGGCCACAGTTTTGGGGAGGTGGCTGTTGATTTTTTTTTTAATTTTTATTCCTTTATCTTTATCCGAAAAGCAGAGTGCGACATACACACAGAGACAGAGACCTCGATCCACCTGTTCACTCCCCAAATGACTGCAATATCTGCGTTGGGCCAGGTCAAAACCAAGAGCTTGAGACTCAATCTGGGCCTCCCACATGGGTGGCAGGAACCCAGCTACTTTGGCCACTACCTGCTGCCTCCCAGCTTCCCAGAGTTCATATTAGCAGGAAGCTAGAATCAGAAGTGGAGCCAGAACTGAAACCCAGACACTCTAACAGGGGAAGTGGTTTCCCAAGCAGCATCTTAACCACTGTGCCAAACACTTGCCCTGAGAACAGTGTTTATGCTCCTCCTACCATCCAACCAGGCTCACTAGCTTCACTGGGAGGGAGCATTGCGAAACACATCTGCATTTTCTTCCTGATTGGCATCCAATCTCAACAACAATCATGTTGACCTTATTTCCTCTGGCCTGGTGTGTGTCCTGGGAGTCATCACGGTCACCCTCAACATCTACTCAAGGAAGCAAAGGTGCTTCAAGGGCCAGCATAGCTGATACTCCATCCTCTGTTCCGCCCCAGCTGGCCACTACTCTGTGAGTCACTACTCTGAGTTCACTTGTGCTCAGACAGCCCCTCACATGGCATTTTGCTTTTGTTCTAATTTCCATTTAAATATTTTTAAAATATTTATTTATTTGAAAGAGCAACAGAGAGAGACAGGGCAGGGGTAGGTGGGGGGAGGGAGGAGAAATAGATCTTCCATCTGCTGGTTCACTCCCCAAATTATTCTAACAGCCAGGTCTAGGCCGGGAACCAAGATCTCTAACCTGGTTTCCCACTGGGGTGCAAGAGGCCTAAGCACTCAAGCCATCTTCTGCTTCCTTCCCAGGTGTGTTAGCAGGGAGCTACATCAGAAGCAGAGTAGCAGGGACTTGAACTTGCACTCTGATATGGGATGCTGGCATTGCAAGTGGTGGCTTAACCCACTGCTCTACAACACTGGTCCCCATACACTGGTCATCTTGAGACTGAAGTGGGGAGAAGTCCCTGAGCCAAAAACAGAATAGCAATAAAAGATTCAGATTGAAGCAGGGGCGGTGCGCAGCAGCAGCGATTTCCCAAAGTGTAAGATGAGTTTTGAGGAAGGGGAAATAGCCATACGGAAGTGAGAAATTTCTGAGTATCCTGGGAAAGCATTTTTGAAGGAGGCAGGACTTTGGAGCTATAGAAATGATAACAAAAATATTTAAACAACGGCACCTCAAGCCAGAGGCTGCTCCTCTCCAAACTGTGGCCCTATCCAGGCTGCCTCCTAAAGCCAACCTCTATGGAGATCTTAAGAACTAGCCGGCGCCGCGGCTCACTAGGCTAATCCTCTGCCTTGCGGCGCCGGCACACCGGGTTCTAGTCCTGGTCGGGGTGCCGGATTCTGTCCCAGTTGCCCCTCTTCCAGGCCAGCTCTCTGCTGTGGCCAGGGAGTGCAGTGGAAGATGGCCCAAGTACTTGGGCCCTGCACCCCATGGGAGACCAGGAGAAGTACCTGGCTCCTGCCATCAGATCAGCGCGGTGCGCCGGCTGCAGCACGCCAGCCGTGGCGGCCATTGGAGAACCAACGGCAAAAGGAAGACCTTTCTCTCTGTCTCTCTCTCTCACTGTCCACTCTGCCTGTCAAAAAAAAGAACGACTTGTCATCTTTCTTCCGATCCCAGTACAAAGACAAAAGAGGTCCCATTCTCTGTTCTATGGAACCAACCCAGGACAAGCAGGACCCTCTTCCAGTGTTCCAGCTTGTTCCTGGGCAAGATTCCTGTAGAGAGGAAAGATAACCACATCAGCAATCTCTCTGTTTACTGTGGTCGTGTAACCTCCTGAAACTCTCCCCCACAGAACCTGGGAAGGATTGGACTCTAGAACTCCAGGGCTTGGAGCCAAAGGGCTTGCAAACTGGCTGGGATCCCAGGAGAGCTCTCCTTCAGAGGGGCCGGCGCATGGGTATCTTCCCATTTCAGAGCAATCCTGCCCAACCTACCTTTCAACATGGAAGCATCCCCTGAGTTGGCACAACCCTGCTGAGGCTTCTCTGCTGAGCCTGGCCCAACCCAGAGTGGAATGTCAGTAGAGTGCTGAATATCTATTTATCTATTTGAAAGGCAGAGCATCAGAGAGAGAGAGGGAATAGAGAGAAAAAGATATCTTCCATCCAGTGGTTCACTCCTCAAATGGCCACAATGGCTGGGGCTGGGCCAGAAACTCCATCCTGGTCTCCCACATGGGTAGCAGGGGCCCAATTTCTTGGGCCACTTTCTACTACCTTCCCAGGAGAAGTAGCAGGGAGCCAGATCAGAAACAAAGCAGCCAGGACTCAAATTGGCACTCTCATATAGGATGCTGATGTTACAATCAGCAGCTTAATCCACTGCACCATAACGGCAGGGCTGGGTAGGTAGACTCTGTAATACTCTGGGGTCTCTGAGTTCAGGAAGAACAAGCCCAACTGGTCAAAAGCAAAGTGGCAATAATGGTCAATCTTACTTGCCTTCCATATCTCAATTTCAGTTCCACTTTATGTCAACCTCATCTACCTCCCATAACAGGCAGTAGTCTCACCCGCTGTCACTTATTTCCACAAAGTGTATAATTTATGAGGGACTCTTTCACCAAACTATCAATGCTTTAATGTAACACCCTGTATGGCCTGGAGGAATGACACCAAAGCTAACTAAGATATTCTAAGGCAACGTATCCCCTCTGGCGCCTTATCTTCAAAGCACCCCATATATAGACAACTCTCACGGCCATCTACCTTTTTAGGCCTCAATTTCCCCAGCAATAAAAACGAGCAGCAAAATCAGGTCATTTTTCCAGGGCTCTTCCAACTTTGATCTATGAGGCTTTCGTCTCGACATTCCACAGCCTCCCATTCTGAGAGCACAGGGCCAGCCAGGCCTCGTTAGGAGGCAGCCTGTCTGTGGCTTGGCACCACTGCCCAGCAGGCATTTATTAAATCAGTGGGATGTGGTCCCTGCTGGCCTGAAAAGAGAACATTAAGCTCCAAAAACTTCCTGCAGCAGGCCTCCTTCCGAGAGTGCTGCTCAAAAGGGTGAGGAACAAAACCATTCAGGTCCCTGGCTGCGCTCCAAGATCCTGTTCACTAGTGCTTTTGCCCTGTCTGCACGGAGAAGCCGTGACTGGAAACATCTGGAGGCCTGCTTAAGACCTGGGTGACTCCTCTTTCCTTCCTGTGGGGGGCAGCGGTTCTTGACCTTGGTAATCCAGATTGACCTTTGCCAATGCCCCTTCTTTTCCAATCTTCTGCACTTCATTGGACAACAACCCTCTAATAAAATCCACATGAACCCAGCTGCTAACAGCTCCTGGAAGGGCTGTAAGATCTAACACCTGCCTCTGAATTCCTTGAGCCCTAGTAGCAAGGGAAAAGAGTGCAGAGACCCAACTCTTGCACCTCTGGGTCTTGCAGTGTAATTGTAGAGAAAGGAAGTAGGTGGGAAGACAAACATCCATGATGAGGGTTTACTGAAGGTAGAAAGGCAATGCAGCTGCTGGGTGGCCCAGCAGAGCCCTGTGCGCCTGTGTCTGCCCCATTGCCAGTGACCTTAGGCTGACAAGGCTCATCACTCTGAGAGGTAGGCCTGGGCTGAGAGGTCAGAGTGCATGTGTCACTGATGACCTGGTGGTCCAGGGATGCCTGTCCCTGCTCTCTCTGTTGTGACTTGGGGAGCCCCAAATTCCTTAGGTTTCTGATGAAGGAAATATTTACTGAGCACTTCAAGATATGTGCCTGGTACTGGCGAAAGGCACATGAGTGAGTATAACAGACCCACTTCCTGTGCTCCAGTCCCACATGCTTGGAAATCCTGACCATGGCTCACAAAGTCTCAGGGACACTGGTGGGGGTGAGGTGACAGGGCTCAGAGTTCCAAAGGCAGAAGTGTCATGTTGGCAGGGGCTCGGTGTCTCCCATTGTGCCTTCCTAGCCTCAGCTCCTCTGCAGTTTAGGGTACAGACACAGGATCCCTGTGGGTAAGGTCAGGGCTCTGATTCACGTTAGCTTTCTTCTTCCCACCAGTGGATGGCAACAGACCAAGACATACAACAACTGGTTAGAGGGACTGAGAAGCTGCTTGAGATTTATTGATAAGGTACAGGATACACTTACTGGGCTTGGCCTCTTAAAATGTTTACTTCTCCTTTGCCTTTCCACCCAGCTGAGGTTTTTGCTTGTTCTCGTTTAAGAGACCTCAGCAGATTTCACCGACTTATCTGCTCTTTGCTGCAATGAGCCTAATACCCGTGCAGTCTTCCTGGGACCTGAGGATGGTGCATTTCAGCAGGCCCCTGAAAGACCCTACCAAAGCCAATGACTCTGCTCTGGCCAGTCAGGCCGCTGTGGAGCAGAGAAACTGGTGTCCTTCTTGGAGTGCTGCCTTCATATCCTTGAACTGAGCCAAATGGCAGGCCTCGTCCAGCCCCAGCCAGCGGTAGGCTTGGTGCTCGTGGGAGAGGCGGATCTCCACGTTGTAGTCCTTCACTTCCGCCAGCCAGTAAATGACTGTTTTAGGCTTCTCCCTGGCCACATAATTGAGCTCCTTTCGGAACCCCTCAATGATGGTCAGCTGGCCTGCTTCTATGCCGGCTTCCTCTTGAGTCTCCCTCAGGGCCGTTTCCAAGTCATTCTCTCCCGGTTCCACGTGGCCTGGTTAGGAGAAAAGAAGGAGGAAATCTTCAGTAGTCCCCAAAGCTGGATTTGTCCTGGCCAGATGATTTAAAGACAGGCTCTTCCGTGACTTTTCTAGGTGTTTCTAGGCTACAGGAAGCCTGAAGATTGGCAATACCCTCATGTGCTTGGGAAGGGGTGCGGGGCAGGTAGTCTCTGGGGTCTGGGCAGTCCCTCCTTCCCATTCCATCTTCTCTGCAGAGAGGAAAGCAGCCCATGTGTCTGGCAAGTCAGGTTTCCAGTACTGCTCTTTGATGGTGAGAGAGACGACCCCCCTCAGACTCCTGCATTCTTATGCTTTGGAGCTGTCCTCAACCCATGTTCTCAGGGACCACTTTTCCCGTGGAGACCTTAGAGTGATTTTTCCTAGAAGGGGCAGTCCCTTCTTGGCAGGTTTGGAGCTAGCTGAAGAGGCAGTACTTTGCCTACAATCCAGTGAGGACTTAACACTGTCTACAGCTGGACCCTGCAGTCCCGGGGCCAGCGGACAGGCTCAAAACCCTGCACTGTTGCACCAGCAGCTGTTTCCAAGTAGCTATCAAGGCTTTTTCCAAATTGTTTTCATCTTTCTAACTGAGCAAGGCCAGATTTCAGTTTCATAGGGAAACTGATGGGAACTTAGACTTAGGACGAGCTGAGAGCCAGTTCTAAGAAAATTTATTGGCAAGACCCAAACCCAAGCAGACAGCTGCCAAAAAACTGTTGTAGCAGAACTTGAAGCTCTGCAGACTGGAGCAGCCCTCAGCTTTACCCCTAGACCTTTCCCACAAATTCTCAGCTTGCATAGAAGGAAGGCCTGGGGAAGGTTTGGCAGCCTCTGTCTACTCACAGATCCAACAAGTTTCTGGGGAGTCTTCTGGTTTGGGAGCTCCTGGGGAGCAGGAACTCTTAACTGCTCCCTTCTTGGTTGGGAGATGGAGCTGCACCCGAGCCCTCCTCCTTCCCAGGGGCCTGCATAGATAGCAGTGCCTGAAGCAGTTGCTGCTGCATAGAAAACAGCTTAGCACTTGAAACCCACTGTAGGCCAGCGCCACGGCTCAATAGGTTAATCCTCCACCTAGTGGCGCCGGCACACCGGGTTCTAGTCCCGGTCGGGGTGCTGGATTCTGTCCCGGTTGCCCCTCTTCCAGGCCAGCTCTCTGCTGTGGCCCAGGAAGGCAGTGGAGGATGGCCCAGGTGCTTGGGCCCTGCACCCCATGGGAGACCAGGAGAAGCACTTGACTCCTGCCTTCGGATCAGCGCGGTGCACCGGCCGCAGCGCACCAGCCGTGGCGGCCATTGGAGGGTGAACCAACAGCAAAAAGGAAGACCTTTCTCTCTGTCTCTCTCTCTCACTATCCACTCTGCCTGTGTTAAAAAAAAAAAAAAAAAAAAAGGAAACCCACTGTAGCCACTGGCTGCTGGAAAATTTTCTCTGCATAGCACCTCCTACAGCAATGTGCACAAAAATGGATAGGTAATGCGTTGGGTGAGGAAGGAGGGAAGGGTGCTGGCGGGGACAGGTAACACTGATTCCCCTGAAAAGTGTGGGAGTCTCTGAGCATACTCCTCCCAGGAGCATCTATTCTGCCCATCGGTGTCAACAGGGTAACTTCTCCCCAAACCCAAGCAGGATATGATGGGGTAGGTCCTCTGACATCTTTCAGAGAAGAATCATGCAGTGTGACATAGGTGTGAATATTCCTATTTATAGTACAAATTTGTGACACCTCTGTCTCTTTTTTCACTTTGTTCATCCCTAGTGCAATTCAAATCTGTAAAATTTATTTCCTGTTCCCATTTCTTCTTTTCCTCCAGCCACAGATCATGGTCCTCCACTCTTTGACCACTCTCCTTTAAAGGTCCTCTTCCCTTCTGTCTGGGCTGTTCCCTCCGGGTGTCAGAGCCACAGTCTGTCCCTACCCACTGGGACCATTCCAATGGCGTTAGCTAAGGATGACTCTTTTTCCCCATTTCTCCCTACACATTCTGGCTTCTCTTTCAGGACCATTAAACTGCATCTTTCTTACTCTCCGAGTTGGGATCTGGAGAGCTGGTGGATGAAAAACAGGCAGCTTGTAAACAGATCTTGGTTTGGTCTAAGTCCTCAGAACCCTAATCTTCACTCTTCTGCCCTCTGGAGACTTAGCCAACTCCACCCCGGATGCCGAGTGATGGATCCAGGGTGCAGGTGGCTGATCAAGCTGCGATCTCAAGGTCTCTAATCTTCACAGCCTCCTGGGCTGAGAAGGATCCTCCTAGCCCTCATTCCCCCACTCCTGCCAGAGCTGGCAGACGAATGCACCTACGATCAGGGAACTCACCTTCTCCATGCTCCTAAATCAAAAGACAGCTATGTTCAGAAACACTCCAGAAATCATGCTCTATGTGTATAGTTGAAAAATCAAAGAAAAAACAAGTGATGAGGACACTAAACCAGGAGTCAAAGGAAACCGAACAAATGAAGTCAGAGACAGGGCTAGAAGCAAGCTTAGAATTTTCTAGTCCAACCCCATGTTTGACAGAAGAAAACACTCACAGCCCAGCCATGACTTGACCCCAGCATCCCCAATGCCCAGCCCAGTGGCTTTTCTCCTACCCAGTCATTTACTACAGAGGCCACAGAGCTCTGGAGGACTGGTGAATGATACGCACAAAAACACCAGGTGTTGCTTCCACCCTGTGATTCGGCCACCGAATTCTATTTTGAGCTCTGCTTTGGCCTCGGAACCCTCTATGTAGAAAGGATCAAGGGCCCTATCCACCCTGCCCCTCTTTCTGCACAGTCCCTGGGAAACAAGCCTTGTGGGGGCGGGGCAGGGTGGATTTCTGAGCAACACTCGGCATTTCCCCAAGACCCAGCCCTTCTGGCCTCGCACCTTTGGGAGGAGTCCAGTGATGAATGCCATCCGATGCCTGCAGCAGGAGAAACTCAATCGCACTGTTGTCCGCCTTGGGCGCGAGGCATCTTCGGAAGATGATCAAGCCACATGCTCGCAGGGCCATGGTCTGTGCAAGGACTTAACAAAGGTGAGGTGGGACACGGGGAAGTTACACAGAACAGGAAGATCCATGCTGGGGGTGGTGCTCTGGTGCTGGAGAGAGGCACAGACTATCTACAGGGATCTCATGACCTGCAGGAAAGGGCAGCCTGCTGAGGGCCAGTGGAGGGAACCTGGCAGGACTTGGCAACTGCTCTCAGGCAGTGCGGCCTCTATTCCAACCCCACCAGGTTTGCCTGCAAAACACAGGGCTCCAGTGTATTTGTTATGAGACTGGAGGCTCCACAGCAAACCCACCGACACACGAGAGATGTGGTAATGGGTGACAGGCAGTACAAATATTATCCTCAAATCCATCATCCCACTTCCCTCAGTCTGTATCTTGAGCTCTCAGACCTGACAAGGCAGTTCCTGATGATTCACAGGGGTCACCTACAGAAGACAGCTGGGTAACCTACAAACGTTTTTGTTGTTGATTTATTTTAGTCTTTTATTTTACCCATGTTATTATACATCCACAAGGTTCAAAATCAATTTAAGAGGGTATACATAGCAGAAGGTCTCTTTGCCAGCCCATTAAAGGTAAATTAACATAGTGGTCAACAGCACGAGCCTGGGAGGCCAGTGTTGTGGCACAGCAGGTTAGGTCTCCACTTGTGACGCTGGCATCCCCTATGGGGGCACCAGTTCGAGGCCTGGCTGCTCTGCTTGCAATTCTGCTTACCACTAAGGTGCCTGGGAAAGCACCAGGTGATGGCCCAAGTGCCTGGCCACCTGCCACCCAAGTGGGATACCCAGATGGGTGGGTCTTAGTCTAGTCCAGACCTGGTTATTGCGGCCATTGGGGGAGTGAACAAGTGGATGGTTTTTCTTTGTCACTCTGCTTTTTGAAAAAAAAAAAATCTTAAAAAAAAAGCATGAATCTGGAACCAAGGTTCATACTCTATGGCTCTAACATACATCAGCTATATGACCTTCCTGTTCCTCAGTTATTCCATCTGTAAGATGGAATAATAGCTCTATCTCAAACAGGTTACTGTGAGGAGCACATAATTTAATTTTTAAGAAAGCTTTTATTTAATGAATTCAAATTTCATAAGTACAGCTTTAGGAATATAGTGGTTCTTCCTCCCATACCCACCCATAATTTAAATTTTGTGGATTTAAAACAGTGCCTGGCACATAATAGCACTCAAGAGTTTTCATTATGTGTAGACAGATGTCTGAAAGGACATACATACATCATTAATAGTGGTTTCTGGAAGCTGAGATCATAGGGAATCTTTCATTTTCTACTTCACATATTTCTGTATTCTTTTTTTTATTTTTTATTTATTTTTTCACAGGCAGAGTGGACAGCAAGAGAGAGAGACAGAGAGAAAGGTCTTCCTTTTGCCGTTGGTTCACCCCCCCAATGGCCGCCACAGCTGGCGCGCTGCGGCCAGTGCACCGCGCTGATCCAAAGGCAGGAGCCAGGTGCTTCTCCTGGTCTCCCATGGGGTGCAGGGCCCAAGCACCTGAGCCATCCTCCACTGCACTCCCTGGCCACAGCAGAGAGCTGGCCTGGAAGAAGGGCAACCGGGACAGAATCCTGCACCCGACTGGGACTAGAACCTGGTGTGCTGGTGCCGCTAGGCGGAGGATTAGCCTACTGAGCCGCGGCACCGGTTCATATTTCTCTATTCTTTAAAATTTTACCAAAAAATCTATTAATTTTGTAATCAGCAATACAATAAAGATTTTTTCTACTACAAGAAAGAAGTCAACAGCAAAAAGAAAGACAGGAGAAAAGAATATCTGCACAGAGGAAAGAACAGCCCATGGCGCGGGCGCTGTGGTGCAGCGGGTTAGGCCTGCCACCCGGAATGCCCACAACCCATATCAGAGTGCCAGTCTGGGTCACAGCTGCTCTGCTTCTGATCAAGCAGTGATGGCTCAAGTACTTCAGGCCCTGCCACCCACATGGGAGACCCAGACGGAGTTCCTGGTTTCAGCCCATTTGGGGAGTAAACCAACAGACAAAAGATCTCTTTCTCTCTGTCACTCTGCCTGTGAAATAAATAAATCTTTACAACAAATTCATCATCTGAAGGAGGACATGCAATTAAGATGACAGATCTTATGAAAGGGATAGCTAACATTTTCTGTAATAGCATAGCCGAAATGAAAGCTTAAATTATAATTTCACAGCTAGATTTACTTCGCCATGGGCACAGTAAACAGGCAAGACCGCCCTTTCAGACCAAACAAAGGGTAAGAAAGTTTTAAAGCGAGGACATAGCTTTCCTCATGGGCATTATCTACCTCAGAAAAACCACTATCAGAATATGCCTGTGACTACAGACTTCTAGTTTAGGCCACAAAGATTAGAGATGGGATTTGAGCACCCCCTTGACTTGCATCCTCTGGTCTGCTTTAACAAAAACCAGGAGGAAGAGAAAGCTAGGCATCAGAAGCAATGTAAAGATAGGTGGCAGGCCTATTAAAGGCTGCTCTGTACAGTCATCTGCCATAAAGGAGACCCAACAGGTCAGTCCACTGCGGTGGCTTTCAATGTGGTAAGATTGGGCTTCAGCAGAAGTCAGCTTATGAAGCGCCCTGGCAGCTCTGTCAGCCAAGAGTTGATCACTGGAAATGGACCTGCCCTGGAGTCAAAGGACTTCAGGTCAGAGCCACAGATCTTACTGGCTCTAAGCTGAAAAGTCCTTCACTCAGCCCAGCTTCCAAAGTGACCATCGCAGCTGAGGGGACGGCCAAGTAGGGTCAGCAACATTGGAGGCAGAACTGTAAATTTCTTGCCAGAGTTGCCACCTGCCTTTACCTGGCCAGCTCTTCTCCCAGGCCAGCTAGGTAATGGAGGTCAACAGGGTGCATTCCCAAAGAGGTTCACACCTCCCTTATGATGTACCCCACCCACCAGATTATTATCAGGCCCCCTTCTGTCAGTTTCTATTTGGCTGAGACAGCATCTTTCTTGGGTCCTCTAATAATGACTCTGTCCTTTGTTCTAGAACCTGTCTAGCCCACTTGGGTCTCATTCCTTTGTAATCATAGCCTCTACTCTAACATCATTGGCTCTACTCCCAACCTGTGTGTGTTGATGTTCCTCTCCTCCACTTAATGTTGTATGATTATTCAGAATTTCTCTACAGACAAACTCCTCTACCTGCAAAAGTTGAGTGGCCTTTCTCCCAGTCTTGGCTGGGATCAGCTTTAAGCCATATCCATCAAACTGTCCTTACAAGGGTCCAGAGACCCCCCTCATTTTCTCTCCTCTATGAAATCCTCTCTACCTGGTTAATGCCACTCTTAGGATCAGTGGTTACTATTCTCACCCTGACTTGTATACTACAGTGTCTGTGTAAGTGTTTATAGCAGGTGATAATGGAATGAACCAAGGCCTTCAGCAACCAGGTGGTCAACCAAATGCTGCTACAGGCATATATTTGGCTCCCTACCCAGGAGACAGCGGCTTGAGACATCGCCCCATGCCAGCGAAGAGTACCTCATTGTCCCCAATCACCATAAAGTAGCCAGAGAGACTTATCGCCCCCTTTTCTATCACCAAAAGGTCGGGATGGTAGCTTTGGGATCCGCAAGGAGGACAGGCCTATACTTCTGGGAATGGAGAGTCCCTACCTGTACTTCTGGGGAAGAAAAGTCTTTGTCAAGGTCCCTGCGGGTGCCTAAAGGTCAACCAATGAGGATCAGACCCGCCTCAACCTTTAACCTCCATGCCCTGTATCTATAAAAGGAGCCCTCCTAACCTCTGATGTGCGACTTCCCCGGCCCCCAGTCTGTTGGGACCGGGGAACCTTGCCCGGGAGCAGAATCCCAATAAAAGCTTGTGAATTAATTGATTCGCCTGCCTGGGAAGATTTGTTATGCGCCAGACACCTTGCAAAATGTATGGAAGATCTTTTATCTCAGTTTCTGCTATAGAAAAATTTGTGTTATTCAATTATTCAGCAAATCCTGTGCTGGGCCTTTGCCCTCATGCAGCCAGTATTCCAGTGGGAGAGGCAGACTTTCATCAAATAATTAAGCAAACTAAAAAATAACTTTTAATAAAGTATATGCTACAAAGAAAAAAAATGTGTGAACAGTAGCTTGCCCTCGTCTGAGGGAATCAAGGAAGGCTTCCTGAACAAAGGGTATCTGAGCAGAGAAGCCAAGGAAGAGTCATGGGAAGTTAGCAAAGGGAAGGAGAAACACGTGCTCCGGGTGGAGGGAAGAGGCTGGGCAGAGGTCTGCAGGTGAGAGGGAAGGTGGGATGGCAGAACGGAAAGCAAGCCCGGTGTCCCCAAAGCAGTGAAGGCCTGGGAGAGTGGCCCAGGCAGGATCATGCCCGAGCCATGACAGCAGGGCTCGCGAGGAGCTGCTGCAGGGATGTCAGCTAGAGTAGGAGTCGCTGTCCTGTGCCATCCTTCTACTGGTGCTCAATCAGGATGAGTCTGTGGCTGTCAAAGGCCCAGACTGAAACCTGGTCCAAGGAAACTGTCAGGGCTGCAGGCAGATGGTAATGTTACCTTAGGGGGATAACAGCTTCTCCCCAAAATAAAAGCAAACCCCTAACACTGAGACCTTTCCTGACTTTTCTTAGCCTGTAGCAAGAAGTTTGTAAGGATTACAAATAATCTCAAAAGGGGTTTTTGAAATGACCTGTTGAAGAGAAACTCAGCATATCCCTTTAGGAGGACATTTGGTAATAGTTATCAAGACATAAAGTACACATTCTCTTGGACTCAGCAATACCATTTCTAGCACTCCCACATAAAGAAATACATGTTTAAGATGCACACACAGGGCCGGCGCCGTGGCTCAATAGGCTAATCCTCCACCTTGCGGCGCCGGCACACCGGGTTCTAGTCCCGGTCGGGGCGCCGGATTCTGTCCCGGTTGCCCCTCTTCCAGGCCAGCTCTCTGCTATGGCCAGGGAGTGCAGTGGAGGATGGCCCAGGTGCTTGGGCCCTGCACCCCATGGGAGACCAGGAAAAGCACCTGGATCCTGGCTCCTGCCATCGGATCAGCGCGGTGCGCCGGCTGCAGCGGCGGCCATTGGAGGGTGATCCAACGGCAAAGGAAGACCTTTCTCTCTGTCTCTCTCTCTCTCACTGTCCACTCTGCCTGTCGACAGGCAAAAAAAAATCAACACACAAGTCTGAAAGGCATGAGGCACACACAGAGACGTTCACTACAACCTTGTTTGCAATATCAAGGAAAAAAATGGCAGAAACAAATATCCATCAACATGGGAACAGTTAAGGTAAAATATAGTATTATCTATATAATGGAATATTATGAAGCCCTTATCAAAATAAGGTAGAGCCAAATGTGTTGCTTCTAAGAAAAGATTTTCAGATATGCTGAGTAAAAGAAGTACAGTTCTGTATGTATAATGTGACTTGTCTGAGTTTAAAAATCCATATGTAAAGTAGTAGCAGGCTTTTATTAAACACGGTGTTCTATTTTCCTGCACTCTCTGTTTATGCACAGAACGTTCCTCATTCTGGAAAGGAAGTACCACGTCACTGAGAACTGGTGAAAAAAAGATTTCAAATTACTGTTCATGGTTCAGGCAGCAGGAGGTAGCTGGAACTCTGCCTTCCCTGTAAAGATGCTCAGAACCCACTGGGAAGTTACAGATGTAGGGTACCTTACTCTTGCCTCAGCTAGAGCACCACAGAAGAAGTGTTGAACTCCTAGATAAACTTAGGGATCCAAGACCTCCCTAGGACTGGAAGCCCCACAGTATTCCTCCACACCACTGTCACCACCAATACAGCATGAGAATGCAACGATGCCTGCACAGGGAGCCAAAAAAGACAGGCCTGGAGTGGCCACGTGGAGCCACTGGTGGGTAGACAGCAGGCCAAGATCTTCCTATGTGGCAGGGGTTGGGGGATGTACCCTAGCAAGAACGTATCTCACTGAATGCCAGTGTGTAGGCAGACATCTAAGAACCAGGTTGGCCAATGATTTATCTCATTGGGATCAGAGGAGCTAGGATCAGCAGCCGGCATTGTGGCACAATGGGTTAAGCTGCTGCCTGCAACACTAACATTCTATATAAGCATTGGTTTCAGTTTGGCTGCTCTACTTCCAATCCAGCTCCCGCTAATGCACCTGGAAAGACAGCAGAAGATAGATGGCCCAAGTGTCTGGGCCCCCACTATCCACAAGTTGGAACAGATGGAGTTCCAGGTTCCTGGCTTTGGCCTGGCTCAGCTCCAGCTGTTGCAGCCATTTGAGGAGTGAACCAGTAAATGAAATATATCTCTGTCTCTCCCTCTCATCTGTAACTCTGCCTTTCAAAAAATAAATAAATAAATCTTTAAGCAGAGTTAGGATCACATGTTCACTCCCCATGTGTGCTATGAACCCATGGAAAAGACTGTTCTTCGAGAAAGGCAGAACTCCTTTCAGTTGCTTTGCTTGAGCAACTCTAGAACCCGCCCTGCCTCCCCAACCCCACTCCATACACACAACTTCCTCCTCCTCCTCTGTGAAGCAACTCAAATGTCACCTCCTCTGTGAAGCCTTCTCGCTGCTAATCACTCCAGCATCTGACTCCTAACACAGTTAAATCGACTTCTATTACAGGTTTCAATTGGAGAAGCAGAAAAGTATGAGTGACAGAAAATTAAGGATTTATTTTAGGGATCATTCCTTGTGTGCAATTATGAAATCTGGTAGAGATCCATGCACTCCATCACCTTTGCATCTGGTTTTGGGTCTGAAGTTTCTATAGCTCGCTGAGGTCAGCAGTTGGAAAGACAACAGAAGGAGAAGTGGAGGTGAGCAAGGACAAACTAGGACCTGTGAGAACAAATCAGGACCTACGAAGACAACTGGAACTTATGAGGACAAACCCAAACCCGAACCTTCCTTTTGCTGTCTCCAAGCTCAGTGACATGGGTGACCTGCAGGAGAAGCTGCCCTCTGCCACAATGCTGAATGTACACCTGGCCCAGGACCCAGAGGAAATGAAGGAAGAGAGTCAGCAGGAGCTGGGAGAGCTGTCCTTGACGAGCAAGGCGAGCTAGCAGATCAGGGTCAAATCCATGCACTGCCGCCATGCCTGGTAGCCAGCTCTGTCCTTCATAGTGTGCGGTTGCCATGTCACTTCAGCTTTCCAAATCTTGCACAAAATTTTCCTAACCTAAACAATATAGGAAAGCAAACCTGGGGAATGCAATTGCAGCTTAGCTAAATTGACACAGTACAAAGCCACCACAAACACACATAGCTACTGCGGTAAATCTCTGTTGTACCATACCTCAGGTAGGGAAGAGCCCAACTATGAGCTCTGTTTCCTTGGGACCCAGCAAGGCAGCTCTCAACAGATGTCCGTGGACTCAACAGAACTCTCTCCTTACCTCCTGCTCAAACAAATGTTTGAGTATTTCTGGGGCCCTGGGAAATAGCCCAGTGTTTTCCTGAAAAGTGCCATTTACATAAAAGTCAATGGAGCTGTTGTTGGGGGTTTTCTGTTTTTCTGGAGACCATGAAGCTGAAACTGTCCAGGGGTTTAAAGTAGCCAGCTTTCACAGGCACGGACTCCAAGTGGATTCAAACCTCAGGGGGTTAAAGAACACAGCATCCAATATGCAAATATGCCTGCAGCCAGGATTGCAGAGGTGAGAACTCCAGGCTGACAGCAGGCAATTCACACTTCAGAAAAATGGCAGAGTGCCTGAGGTGGTTAGAAAAAAATCTGAATTAAAAAAACTCCTCAATGTCATCAGAAGGTTCCAGAAGCTAAGGGAAAGCGCTCTTGGCTTTCTCTTTATATATATAATTCCCTTACAGCCTGCGAGGTTCAGGACTGAGGTGCCAAAAAATAATTTACAGATAAATGGTTATGCTGTCATGTCCCAATGTTTTCATCAAATTAATCAGAGTGCTATTGCGTGTATAGTTCAATCTCAGAAGCTCTCACAAATATACATGTAGATAAAGAGCTCCCCAAATCCTCCCCTTGACGTGTTCCTCCTAATCTAAGATCCCTCCTGCAGAAAGAGTGCTTTATGCCACTGCATTATCAATTAAGCATGAATACTGTGCCGACTACGCCGTGCAAGCTTTCTGACAACTATCATCTCTAATACGCAAGACAACCCTCAAAAGAAACATCATTATCTCCAGTTTATAAGGAAACTGAGACATCAGAACAGTTAAAAGACTTGCCCATGGGCATAGCTGGCCTATAAATGGTAGGATTCTAATCCAAGTAAATCTAACTCCAAAGTCCATATTTTATTCCCTCTTAGACTCTGCTCACCATGAAATAACAGGGCTTAGGGCACAAACAGCCCTGTGAGGACACACAAGTGATTTATTAAATCACTTCCAGTTTAAAATTCCCAGTCTTTAATCGATATTCATATGGAGATTGAAGATGTCAAACCAGAATGCTTTCACTGCACAGGTCTTAGTTGGGAGTGGGGCGGAGCAGTAGATGAACGTCATGGTGCCCATAGAAGATGCAGGAGGGGTAAAATCTGTCTGGGCCACTCCACTGTGAGAAAAGGAAGGCCAACTCTGCCTACCTAAAAGCAACTCTACGAACTGCCCAGGTTTCCCTCATCTCCACGTCATAATTGTCTTTTCTCCATTTTACTAATTTCCTTCTTCCCTTTCCAAGTGGACAGAAATGAGGTGCCCAGCCATGAATAAAGCTCGCCCTTCTAACAACAACAACCATAAATGGGGGGAAAAGAAAAACAAAACAAACAACAAAGAAAATAAGCCCCTACCTACCATGAATAAATTGAGAAAGACAATGTTCCCTCTGCTGCACCTTTCCCTGGATAGCCGCCACTCCCTTCTTCTGGGTGAGACCAAGCTGCTAAGTCATTTTGCTCTTTGCCTTTTGGCTGAGGAAGGAAATAGGAGACTTCACCTGTAATGGCATGAATGGCTTCTAGGATGACACCAAATTCTCACCAGGTAGCTAGCATGGTGAAATTCGTTACACGGCCTGTTAGTGCCATCTGCTGTACGATTCTGGAAAGTAAACAGGAATTCCAACACTAGAGCCTTAAGGTGTCCTTTGTAAGACACGATGTTTTACAGGACTGAAAGGGGGATGTGAAGCTGAATAAAGCCCAACTTTCTAGAGGTTCACAGCCCCAAAGCTGGAGACAAAGCTGTAACTTGTGCATCATAAGGTATATATAAGATGGTAAGGCAACAAAGAAGGATCTTTAGGTCAAATGGGCATGTCATAAGAATTTTGAGGATTGCTAGGGTTTACTGGACAGAATAAGGTAGAGGCCAGGGGTACTCCAGGTAGAGGGCAGAATGGACAGAAACCCTCAAGCAAGCACATGATGAAATTCCATTAGTAAACAACTTTGTTTTCATTGCACAGACAACAAGGCCTTTTGATTGGCTTTAGGCAGCACCATAATTTGGTCACATGGACATTTTACAGGCAAGGTACAGAAAATGAATTGGGAGGAAAGACTGGAAGAAACAAACCAGTTACAAGCTTATTGCCAACACTTCAGTTGACAAATGATATGGAGTTAGATTAAGGCAGAGATGTGAGAAGTGAAAGGAGATGAATGAAGAAGGTATTTCCAAGTAAAACTGACAATATTGATGTTTCATTATCTGAAGGTCAGAGTGACAATTCACAGTCCAAAGGAAAGGGAGAGAGGTTTGGTTTAGGTGACTGAGTGGAGGAACGGGTAGAATCTAATGACTTTTGTCGGAGACAGATTGAATTTGAAGTGCCATAGGCTATTCCCAAGGTAAATGAACAGATGTGTCTAAAGTTCACTGATCATCTTATCCCATCTCTTCATTTCCCAAAGTGGACATTTTCTATAATAGGAAGCATCTGTTCCAGTGGTAGGTACCTATGCAGCCCATTTCCCTCCAATTTAGTTGAGTCTACCTGTCCAAACCTACCCTTATATTTTGTATTCCAAAATATTTTTATGCTCTTTCAGTCAAAAACAGTACAACACAACACAGAAAAGCATGGCTGACTTAGCAATGACAAAGACCTAGCTACTGAATTTAATGGTTATTTAGAGCAAGATACTTATTGAAAGTGTAAAATGAAGGTACCATCTACTTTATGTGGTTGTTGTAGAATTTAAAATAAATGATGTATATATAGGATCTGATATATCAGAGTGAGCCACTCTTACCCTTGCATTATTTAAGGTCACCAGTAAGCTTCTCTATTTTATGGGCTTGAAATTTTTCGTTTGCTTGAAAATCAGAGAGGGAAAGATAAATCTTCCATCTGCTGGTTCACTATGCAAATGCCCACACAGGCCAGGCCAAAGCTAGGGGAATTCAGTCAGGTTTCTCACATGGGTGGCAGGGGCCCATGTATTTGGGTCATCACCTGCTGCCTCCCAGGGAGCTGGAATCAGAGGGGCAGCTGGAACTCAAACTTTGGAGCTGCCACTCCAATGTGGAATGTGGGGGTCCCAAGCAGTGTTGTAACTGCTGTGCCAGAAGCCCACCCCACTTGATGTTTTAATGGCATGTGCTTAGTTTTCATAGAATGTTGAATCAAGAAATGGCTTTTCATGTTTCCTGTGAAACATGAAAATTGCCAGTGAATACATGTTCATCACATCATGTATACCCCATATATATAAGAATCAACAAGACAACTTCCTTTTAATATAGATACCAGGGGAAACATTTCTTTTGGAGACCAGATATTTTTAATTACTAGTGAGAGTTGCTTTTTTTTCCTTAACTGACGAATTTTGAGCTAAATTGAGTACTCAATTACAGGGAGTACCCTGTGAGCGGTATACAAGCTGGTGTGTCGATTTGTTTTTATTATGAGGATAACAGCTACCATTTTCTTGCAGGCATCATGCCAAAAGCTTTACCTTCATTATTAAAAGAGGAAAAAGGAAATTCAGGCTCGGAGATATGCCTAGGTAGTGACTCCAACACAGGTCCGCCGGCCTCAGCATCATTGCTCTTAACCACGACTCTGTACTAGTGTCTTACACTTGACTATTTGATTGCACTGTTTAAGTGGTTGCATTTTTGTTGTTGTTGAGGAGGTGGGGATTCTCGCCTGACCTTTTCCTCTGCTTTAACTGCCGGTTCAGTAAGTGAAATAAATAGAAAACACAAAATCTGTTTTTGGAAAGCAACGGAGGCCCAGGGAGGGGACGGTACGGCGCCTGGCCTTTGGGCCCTAAACTCGTACCTCGCTCGCCTCTGGGGCTCCTATGACCCACTCCATCACCACTTGCGGGGTGGCGTGCGAGCTTCACCAGACCACTGAATTTTCCCTTCTGGTGCAGTTAGGAAAACTGAGGTCCTGCAAGCGACTGGGGCCTGCCTACTCAAACCAAACTGCTAATGTGGAGGAGGGCGCGTCCACCTTTGACTTGGCAGCGACAGAACGCTAGACAACGGCAGACTACCAATGCACTAAGCCTCCCCATTTACACCCTGAAAATTAAACCCAGGTGGGCTCTAAGGATACTCACCTGAAGCTCAGAGGCAAGAGGCGGGCCTTGAACGGAGACGGAAAGTGCAGTGGCCAATCAGAAGAACGCTGTTGCTCCTCAGGAGACCAACAGAATTGGCAAAAGGATCCTGGACCCGCCTCAAAGATACCTTTCTCTCGCGAGAACTTCACTCAAGCATAACGATTGGCTGAAGGACGGAAATTATGAGTCACGCCCACTGTGTTTCGGGTTCCTGATTGGTGTTCACGGGGAGAAGGCGATGCACGTTAACGGGTTCCTTGGATGCTCATTGGCTGGTGGCGCGGCACGGCCGGCGCGCGAGCGCCAGCGCGGGCGTTCGAACTGGCGTTTGGCGCCGTTGCCATGGGGATGCGGCCTGGCTGCCGGCTGGGAAGCCCAGGTTGACAAGACACGAGAGTCTCCGGTCTTGGGCCCCTCGCCGGACCGCATCGTCCTTTTCAGCGGTCAGACAGGGCTGACCGAGGAGGAGTTTGGAAGTCCCTAAGGTGAGAAAGGCGGGCGGGGACCGCGGCGGGACGGGCGTGGTCGGAAGCTGTAGCGCCCGTCTCGCGGGAGAGGGTGCGCGTGACGCCCGCGGAGCACGCAGACTCGGGCGTTTGAGAGGGAACCGGGCTTTGGCCGCTGCCGGTTCCGAACCTTCACCTACCTTTCATCCTCATACTATGCTTCGGCAGTTATTTTTAATTTTGTGTTTTGTGTTCAGCCAATAGCTTTAACGCCAATTCTCATGAAGTCTTTGAGTCCCGAAGTCCTTTACTTCGGCGAACCCCATTCTCCTCCTTTCTCCCCTAATTCTGAAGTCTTTGAGGTAAGGCAAGCATCTTTCACAGTGACTTCCACGTGCTCAAATTTCAGGAAATGTTGATTTGAATTTAATTCGCAAATACGAGGAGTACATAACAAACTTAATGGAAGATGAAATTTATGAGTTTATTTTCGTGAAAATTTTTTTTTAATCTGTGGTTATTTAAAAGTATGTTTTCAGTGTATTATGAGAAAAAGAATTGTATCAAAGTAAACTCATCCTTTTAATACCAGCTCCCCGGGAACTTTCTGAAATGCCGTTGTAGGTCAAATTCTCTTTTATGCCATTTTATCTCTCATATTGAGAGATGACTTTTTTCATTTTTAGAGTAGGGTCAGGAGCACCCTAACTGCATATGCAAAAGGACCTGAAAAGTTCAGTTGGCCTTTGCACACTTTGGGAGAGGTTATGGCTTTTAAACTTGGTCTCTCAGTCCTTTTTTTAGATACCTATTAGTCTTTGCTTAAGACAAACTGTTGCTATGTACCAAGATAATTTATCTCCTTTTAGTTCCTTAGTGACCTGCAGTTATTGCCACGTTTTGCGGGTTCTTTGGGAAAAATTTAAAGCGTCTTTTCCCTTGTATTTGTATTCTTCCGTGAGGAGAGAGGTTTTATAATCTTCTCTACTTCAGTGGGTGTGAGAGCTGCTTGGGTAGCCTCCATCAGGTATCTCTGATAGAGTCGCGTTACCAACACTTGCTTCATTGTTATCTCGGGGACTGTATAGTCACAGTGTCGTTGATGTGTCTTCCTTATGTCAAAACCATGGCTCAATAGTGACTTTAATAAAAGGATTTAAAGAGTCAGATATTATAGAGCTTTTCACTTACATATCCTCGTATGAAAGTTTGAATCCCCAGTTTTTTTTGGCAGTGTTTCAGAGTTTGGCCTTGGTTCTGTCTATGTAACTCCTTCCCTGTGTTGGCTTTCAAGTTGGTTAGCCCCTTTAAACCTCACTTTTTTCCATGTGGAAAATTAAAGGGTTGAATAAGACTAGAATTCCCGTGGCTCTGCTATTAATCTGGTAAAGTAGTTGATGTCAGGTGGGCATCTCGCTGTCTAAAGAAGTATCTTTCTAGCAGCTCAAAGCAATAGCTATCATTTATTGAGTGTTAACTGTACACAAAGCATTAAATCAAGGGTTTTATATAAATACTATGTTTTTGTTATCCTGTGGCATATCAGTGTGCTGTGCAGATAGCATTTCATTAAAAACTTTTTGTGAATGAAAGTTGTTAGCTAACCATGTCCTTGGGGTTAAAATAGTATGTGATTTTCCAATTTAGGAGAAACAGCAATTTCTTTCTCTGGGCTGCTGTTTGGTGGGTTGTAAAGTGAGGGGTTAGGCTCTTCTAAGATCCCTTCCAGATCTAATGTTCTATTCCATTTTCTCCATACTGGCTCAGCAAACCTGTTCACAATTTGTGCTGAATAGATTGTCAACAGATTTTGTTAAGTGAGTAATTGAGTTCTACTTGAACTTTGAGTGTTGTATGCTTCCTGAGTTACCCTCTCTTGATGTTCATTAGCAAGAAGCTGGATCAGAAGTAGAGCATCTGGGACTCAAACTGGTATCCATAGGGGATGCTGGCGCCACAGGCAGAGGCTTAACTACTGTGCCACAGCGCCAGCCCCTCTTGGTGTTCATGTCCTGTTTGAACAAGATGACTTTTCCATAGGTATAAACTAATAATGATAGGTACTATATATTGTTGAATGCATAACAGGCACTGAATTTAGCACTTAGTATATTACTCCAATTCTTACTAAAGCAAACATTTTTCCTGAGTCATTATCATCTGTTGTCTGCTCAGTGCTTCCTGAATCTTCCTCCTTCTGTTTTTGCCCTAACCCTGCAATCCAGTCCTCTCCAAACTGGCAGAGTGACTTTGAAAGACATGTATCAGATCATAAGCTTTCCTCATTTAAAATCCTCTAAATGACTTTTTCTTTCACTTAAAAATAAATTCAGGCCGGTGCCGCGGCTCACTAGGCTAATCCTCTGCCTTGCGGTGCCGGCACACCGGGTTCTAGTCCCGGTCGGGGCACCGGATTCTGTCCCGGTTGCCCCTCTTCCAGGCCAGCTCTCTGCTGTGGCTAGGGAGTGCAGTGGAGAATGGCCTAAGTGCTTGGGCCCTGCACCCGCATGGGAAACCAGGAGAAGCACCTGGCTCCTGGCTTCGGATCAGCGCGGTACACCGGCCGCGGCGGCCATTGGAGGGTGAACCAACAGTAAAGGAAGACCTTTCTCTCTCTCTCTTTCTCACTGTCCACTCTGTCTGTCAAAATAAAAAATAAACAAATTCAAACACCTTTATGTGGCCCAAAAGACTGCATAATCTGGCTCCTACTTCTCTGTCCTATCTCATAGTACTCTCGCTGCTGTGCTCGGCAGACTGGCCTTCTGTTGATCATTGGATCATGCCATGCTCATTTCTACCTCAGGACTGATGGGCTCACTTGCAGTTCTCTGCCTCTTTTATCTCCTTCTTAACTATTTTAAGGTTTACCTCAGCGTTCCCTTCTGAATGAGGCGTTCTCTAATCATGTAATATAAAGTGGGCGGGTGCTTCACCCTGATTTATTTTTCATTACACTATCACTCTCTGAAATTAACCTGCTTATTTGATTATTAATTATCTTCTTCCACCAAAATAATACTGCTATGAGAGCAGTGACTTTATTTTGTTCACTGCTCTATCCTCAGTGCCTAGAACAGGGCCTAGCTCACAACAGGCTCCAGAAAGTATTTCTTGAATGACTGGATAAAGTATGTTGTGGAACTGTGGCCATCACTGTATCCATAGCAATTTATTTGCGTAATACAAACTCAGGGGCCCAGACACTTGGGTCATCCTCCACCACTTTCCCAGGCCGTTAGCAGGGAGCTGGATTGGAAGTGGAGCAGCTGGGACATGAACCAGTGCCCATATGGGATGCCAGCGTCCCAGGTGGCAGCTTTACCAGCTACACCACAATGCTGGCCCCTTACATTGAGATTTGATTGGTTAAATTAGTGGTATACAGTGGTGTAGCCAACATATGGATATCTGATCTCTTTCTAAAAAAAATTCATATAGGTGTTTTAAATAAATTTCATTATGCCTCAGTTTCTTCATTTGTAAAGTGATATGATTGCTATTTATCACAAAAAGTCTGCAGAAATCATTTGGTCACAGTGAATAGAATTGTTGTAATTGCTCTGCTTTCTCAGTGTCACTCCTTTTGAAATAATTCCTGGTGCCATGCTGGCAACGGTTCCCAAAGGAATCTATCCCCGATTGAACTTATATCATCTTGGTAATTTATAAAAACTGATTGTAATAGTTATTTTTCCAATTCAACATGAGATACATTCAGTTGAAAGTATTTTATGACTGTAAAATGACAGATTTGCAAATGACAACCTCCTGCAGTTGGGTTAGACAAAGATTTTAAAAATAAAGGTCTGCATTTAAACTGACATCAGTTGCCACCTGCTCTGGGAATTCTAAGTTAACCCTCTATAATTGGAGAGAGTATTACTTGCCCTGTTTTAAGATAGCTGAGTTCAACAATTGTGTTATGTTTATTTTTAGGTCACTGCTCCCATGTTTTTCCCATATTTAATAAACTCATTGTGGGGCTTTTGAAGGGAATTGCAATAAGTGCAAAGCATTAGCCACCATGAACTAACAATTTTTTTTCAGGTATAAACAGTCTTTGAAACTACTTTCTTGAAAAGTAGTTAGATATAAGTCACATGATTGGTATCCCAAAATCCACATCTTCCTTTGAGAAGTCCATTAAGTATCATATTCTAATTCCTTTGCAGCTGTTGTTTTAAGCAGTTGTCTAGTATCATTTGTCTTGTGTTGAGAGCAGTAGTCTATAGATAGAATAATCCTTAGAGTTTGAAATAACTAATTCCCTTGTTGGGGTAAAGAGTTTATTTGCCTTATAATTGTTTCTTATGATCTTAATAGGGGGTTTATGCTTTATACAAGATACAGAAACATGAGAATCGCTTGAGAATGTTGGGTTTATATTGAATCAGTTTCTGGTGATACAGTGGGCCCAGTGACTTTGTTAGTAACACCTTTTAAAAATGAACATAATTAGTGGTCATCTAGGGATAGGTGAAATAGGGGGGAATGAGGAATGGCTATTAATGGTTTACGTGGCCTAAAAGTGATTGCCTTGATTGGTTATATAACTGTGAACATACCAAAAGCTGTCAAAAGTGTATATTACAAAGGATGAATTTTGTGACATGTGAATTGTACTTTATGAGGCTGTTTTATATATTTTAT